CACACACACACACACACACACACACACACATACGTGATAAAAAGAATACTACCTGTTTTGTTGTATATAAATACTAATGTGATGTCTACAGACACAGACACACATTTGCACAAATATAAATATGAAACATGCTTTCATACACACACACACACACACACACACACTCGATCAGTCAATATTATTTTATTATTATTAAATATTATTTTTAATATTATTAAATATTTAATAATATATTATTAAATATTATTTCCGTCATTCTTTTGTTCTGTCGATCCATCAAAATTTATTTTTTGAGGTTTTTTTTTGTCCAATCAACCATCCTATAATAATTGATTCTGGTACATTTTTTAATTAGAATTTTCTGGATTTTGATTGAAAAATTTGTGTTACATTATTTCAATTTGTATTTCGTATTAATTAAATTATTTATATGTTATTTTTCATACTTTATTTCAATTATATTTATTTTTTTAATGTTAATTCATTCCTTTGTTATTCACGGTGTTCATATTTCCAACTGATCATATTTTGACTGCCAGTTCAGCATTCCTTTATTAGCCAACTTATCCACTTTTCCATCCATCTATCTATCCATCCATCCATCTATCCATCCATTTATCCCCTTTCCCATCTATCTATCCATCCATTTATCCACTTTTCCAATCCATCTATCCATCCATTTATCCACTTTTCCATTTATTCACTTTTCCATTTATCCATCCACTTTTCCATCCATCTATCCATCCATTTATCCACTTTTCCATTAATACACTTTTCCATTTATCCATCCACTTTTCCATCCATCTATCTATCCATTCATCTACTTTTCCATCCATCCATCCACTTATCCATTTATCCATCTAACAAATTATTTTTCCCTTATCCGTCTATCTATCCATTAATTCATCCATTCAGTCATCTATCTATCTATCTATCTTTCCATCCATTCATTCATTTTTCTGTCTATCCATCCATCTATTCATCTGTCAATCATTCATCAATCTCTTTATCTATTCATCCATCCATCCATTCATCTGTCTATCCATTTTCTATATCTTATTACCATACTGAAAAATGGCGCGGTCCGTCTTAAACTAGGAAAGGTCAGAG